ACGTACTACCGTACTACTTACTACGTTACTACGTTACTTCTACTTACTACTTCTACTACTTACTACTCTACTACTACTTACTACTACTCTCTCTACTCTCTCTCTCTCTCTCTCTCTCTCTCTCTCTCTCTCTCTCTCTCTCTCTCTCTCTCTCTCTCTCTCTCTCTCTCTCTTTGCAGTTTAAATTTTCGATTGAGCATTTGTATAGGGTTGAGAATGAACAAACTTGAAAAAGAACATGGAAATAAAAAACAATGATTCATGGGTCTACATTACATGGGTTCATATATGTATATGTGTATCAGGTTATGTTATCATGAAACTTCAACTTGGTGTTGTGCGTCAATACTTCGATAGGTTCGGAACTTGAGGACACCTGTCCATATAGAAAACATAAAAGTATTGTCGAGGGGCTCATTGCAGGGATTGAATTCAAGTGATTTTGGCATATTGTCCTCTATGACCTCGCTACCCACTTATTTTGTGGTATAACAAGGAAATTTGTATTTTATACTAAAGTAACATATTAGTTCATTTATAAATAAGAATCGTATAGGTGTGTCTAGCCATACTGGAACTTTACACTGTGCTTGACCCCTTTGACGCTTGTAGACACCTACACTCATCTCAGGGTCCATGCAACACTAATATCAGGATGTGCATGTGTTCTTATCATTTATTTGTGAATTGTGATATGTGATAATTTTGTCCCTCTTAGCTATTTAGCTGATGTTTATTTCTATAACACTAATATCAGGATGTGTATGTGTTCTTCTTATCATTTATTTGTAAATTGTGATACATGATAATTTTGTCTCTTTTAATTATTTACTTGATGTTTCTTTGTATTTGATGCTTTAAAGGATCGGGTGGAGGTGAGGCAAGGTTCCTGGTTTGAACCTCTTCAAGATGTCAAAGGAAAGATTGCAGGTCTGGTCAGTAACCCACCATATATCCCAAGTGAACACATTCCTGGGCTTCAACCTGAAGTTGGTAAGCATGAGCCGATATCTGCCCTAGATGGAGGTAAAAATGGCATGGACTATCTTCTTCACCTGTGCATGGAATCAGCTTCAGCCTTGACGCCTGGTGGATTTGTTGCTTTTGAGGTACTCAGCTTTATTGCAGAGAGACAGAGTTGTATGTTGCAGTAGTTATTTAGGCTTCATCTGCCTTTGGTTTTACTGTCCTGCTCTTAAACTGTTACTCCAGTATCCTGTTGTAAATAGTGAATTAGGAAAGAAAATACCCTAGGAGTGGTGCTTTTACTAGGTGTGCTGCATTAACCACCATAACCAGATAGTCCTATTTTGAGCTCTTCCAAACACAGCCTGACCAATCTGTACTCTAAAACTCACAACAAGTGTGCTTTGCATACGTGGTTCTCTTATGGGTACCCAGAATTGTTTAAGGTTTTAGAATATCTGAAAATCCCTTACTCTTATAAGTTCTTCAATGACTAATTGCTGTTAGAATGCCTAAAATTTAGTCCAGATTTACTTTTTGTGGGATAATGTAATCTAATTCTATAATAAGTTTCTTTACTTTTCTTTTCAGACAAATGGAAAAGATCAGTCCAAAATTATAGCAGAGTTTCTACATACCATGCCAAAAAATGGTTTTTGTGACGTGAAGATCCGGTCAGACTTTGCTGGAATTCCTCGTTTTGTCACCGGATTCCTTCGTTAAAATGACCTCAATTTTTCCTCTTTCGGGGTTCTATCAATGAAACAGCGGCATACACTTGAGGTTCCACAATTCAATGTACTGTTTTTTCTGGGTGTAGGTTCAAATTCGGAAGGGACAACAACTAAGAGTGTAAGCATCAACCATCCCTTACAAGAGACAGACATGTTAGGATTTCTTTTTTTGCTTTTGTGGGTTTCTCCATTTACCTACCACGACCTCAAATTACTACTTGGAGTTACTGGTTGGTGCACGAGCAAGTCCAAAAGACCCGCTAACCTCAAGGGGCATATCGGCATAATTATACATGTTTTGGCGGATTTTGCCAAAAAATGCTCTAATTGACAGGATCTCTGCTTTCTATATGTGATAAGGTTGGTTTTGATGTTCTCTACGTTTGTGGGGGCCCTCTTTCATTTTCTCGGTATTCATCAACCGTCGGGATTCGTTGAGTTAGAATTTGATTTGGAGACACACTATACACACTCACACGCACTAGGTGTTTCATTACTGTTGGATTTGGAGTTCTGATTAGAGAGACTCTCAGAAAGAGGCCTGTGTGCCCATGCTTCTGTTCAAAGCCATTATTGGAGCTAGCTTCTTTTGTGTTTAGTTAATTACGGTATTTTCCTCATTGAGTTGTCTTTTGTCTAGGTCTGCTAATTGGCATAGATGTACTTTCTTTTATAGCTCATTCATGGAAAAGGAAATAAATAATTTAAAGCATTTGTACTTGGGTGATCCATAGTTTGGAATCTGATGTTTGAGGTCTTGGTTTTTCCATCTCTCTTTCCCTAGCTTCTTTGCATGAAGCCCTTGTTGGAGCTTGCTCCCTATTTTTCAACTTCTTTACTTACCATCCATAGAAAAGGAAAGAGAATTAAAGGCATTTGATTTTGTGATTTCATGGTTTAGAATTTTATGATTGATACGTGTGCTGCGATTTTACAAGGCCACGGTTCAAATCTTTCTGGAAAAAGTAGCCTCACAAAGGCATCTCCACCTTGATTCTGATTGATATAACGAAAAATAGATTTAAAGCTTTAAAAATAATTAAAATCTCACAGCATTGTTTTCGATGTCGAGTCTTTATGGATCTGTTAGATTTGTACCATTTTTTAGCTTTAAATTCTATAATCAAGATGGATGGATTTGGAAGCGTACTGAGAGATTTTCGAGTGGGTCGTGGTCTTTTGGAATACGCACCCTTATATCTTGGTCTTTCGTACAATTAACGGAAGGCTAGAGGTTTATGATAAGAAGTAATGTTGTACATCAAAACCGCACCAGAAGCGTGTGAATTTGACAGATTATAAACATTTAAAATGGTGTTTCAAAACCTGGATTGGTGGGGTAGATTGTTTACCTATGAACCTGTCTTAGATCGTCAGTTAAGCGATTCGTATCGGGTTTGCATTAGTCCGAATCGACGATTTAGAAAAATATTAAAAAATAAAATGAAATAAAAATTAAAATGGGTTTATAGAGTAGGGATATAGAAGGGACTTAATAAAATATTAACATATATATATATGTGTGTGTGAAGGGTGCAGTTTGCATACGAATGCATCTGCAGGTGTAGAGGGGTAAGGTGCACTTCAAATTTTATCATGGTAAATAATTTTGACTTAAAATGTTCTTAGGATTATCTCAAAATCTATTTTTATATCTAATTATAAAATTTTAAATTTCAAAAATGGTTAAAATCAAGTAGATCTATAAACATACGAAATCTTAAAAAGGGACAGTGTAGATAATATGTTGTAAAATGCACTATTTATGAGACTTAAAATGTTTTTATTTTTCATATTCATATATCTCGATGTCGAAATGATCAATCAAAGGGTTTTTCAATATTAAAACTACCTTTTCCGATGGATTTTTGAGGGGCATATGCAGTTCTACATTATAAGGTACCATCCTTATATAAAGTTTTTCCATCTATGAAAGCACTTTATAACAAGTATGGGTGTACAACGATTTTGCCTATAGGCTCACCACTGTCCGTTTTTCGTGAACGGTGGGGATAGAGCCGGTGCGGTGCCGTCACAAGAGGCATCCACCTTGAACCACAACGGCTCTTATGTCCATGACGGTCAAAGGTCAAAGGGTCTCCGTCTTAAACCGCAATGATTCTACAAGAGCCGTTGTGGGGCAAAATTGCTGTACACTTTCACTTATGGGTACTAGATTCCGTGTCAGTTAGGATTCGATTCTAATCAATTTCCATCCGGATTGGCAATGACATAGAAAAATAATGAGTTTTTAAAACACTTAATCTTAAAAATAAACGAGACATTTATATGTGGCGCCTCCTGCATATGAAAAATATGCCTTATTTGCAGTTGTCTGACGAGTAGATGTGAAAAATAAACGAGTAGGTGTATATCTATTATGGCGAGAGATGGGCACAACCTTCCTTTTTATCAAGTGGTCTGTATCTATTATGGCGAGGGATGGATTGGCACAACTTCTAAAGCGGGATATTTCAATTTTGAATTGAAACTTTTATTGCTATTATAGTTTACTATCCACTTTTATATGATCTATCTTCCTGTGAAACTAGACTTGGCATTAGAATGACCGTTAGATTTCCACGAGTTTCAAGATCTACAGTGATCTGATGGTTTCTCCCTCTGCAACACACCATTGTTACTGTAGGAATCTGAAAGTACTGGTTCAACATCTCTTCTAATTCTTTGTTTGTACTTCTGCCTTGTATTTTGAGTCTCTACATGCGGTGGGACAACAATATTGTCATTAAGAACACATATATCTTTAAAGAACACATATATTTTTAAAGGATAATTTAAAATGAATGACCCCTAATTTAAGGATACCATCTTTCGGATGATCCAAAACTCTCTATTTGGGACATTCCCTAACCTTTTGGGGCACACCTAACAAAATTAAAAAACATCTTAATTAAAAATAACAAAAATACCTTCGAAAGGTGTTTTGGCCTTTTTCTTAACCAGAGATATTCTTTCTTAATTTTACGAGGTGCGTCGTGTGCATGCCCAACTTTCATTGCAAAATGTTTTGTAAAATAAAAAATAAACATGATATACTCTAAGCCATCCGATCAACATCATAAACTAACCATCATATTATGTCTAAAGTTGTCATCCTTTTAAATCGGATTGTTGGAAACAGGGGTTACATATTTTAAATGTAGGTGGCACCACATGCAATTTTAAATATTTCTCTAAATAAATAGCCCAAATAATATAATACAAAATACACTATATTTTAAAATACAATTTCCCTTTGTAACTCTTCCAAACCCTAGAGATTGTTCTTGGGGCCTGACACACTGACCACTAAGCCTAGATTCCAAAGCCACCTTCTCTGGTGTACACTTGGGACTTTGTCCTCATTAAAATTCAACTTCTCATTTATGCTCTCTAAGTGGGGTGCATCATCATATGAAAAATATGGTGACCTGAGAAAAATTACCCACCTTTAAAAGTGGTAACTTGGGGTCCAATGTGGGTGCATAGAGGTGTCAAAGCCATAAAGTGAGTGGGCGTACTATTTTTGGATGGAAAGCATAGTATATATATATATATATTTCCTTTATAGAAGATCTCCTCGAGAGGGTTTTTTTCGATCTAAATTTTTGGGAATCGCACACAAATTATCAGATCAATTATTCCAAAAAATAAAATCTTAAAATTTTGCGTTTTCTAACACTTTTATCTAAAAATTGGAGGGTTTTTGTTCAGTCATGCGACATTATATTCTTTCAATATTTGAGGTTAAAGTTAATCATTGATTGGATCTCACATGATGGTAAACGGACGGTATATTCTTATAGGAAAATCTTTTGCTTTAAAAAGAAAAAGGGAAATTTAAATGGATATCCCCTTATTTATTATTTAAAAAAGGGTGGGGTTTGCATAAAGTTACAACCTTAGACAATCTAATTAAAGTGCACCTCCAAATTTTATCATAAGATGTAATTTTGGTGTAAAAAATTCTTAGGGTTGTTTGAAATTTTATTTTCAACTCTAGTTGTAAAATTTTAAATTTCAAAAATAGTTCAAGTCAAGTAGATATGTAAACATATGAAAATCTTGAAAATAGCCATTTTAGATAATATGTTGCAAGTGTACTATTTTTGGGACTCGAAATCTTTTTCTGTTTCATATTCGTACATCTCAATGTTGAGATGATCAATAAAGGGCTTCTTAACATTAAAACAACATTTTTCGATGGATTTTTTAGGTACCACCTGAATTCTACCTTTTAAGGTTACAACCATATATAAACCTTTTTCCTTAAAATTATTCATGACATTTTTGTTTTATATTCATATCCCAATTTTTTGAAGATATCGCATATAGAATTAGAGCTAGGTAGACGAAATGGAGATATGTAACTGAAATTTGAAGTAAGGAAAAAGTTTATATAATGATGCAACCTTATAATGTAGAACTACTGATGCACCTCAAAAATCCATCAAAAAATGTAGTTTTAATGTTGAAAAACCCTTTGATTGATCATCTCGACATCGAGATCTATGACCATGAAAAATAAAAAGATTTTTAGTCTCAGAAATAGTGCATTTTTACAACATATTATCTACACCATCCATTTTCATGATTTTCATATGCTTATAGATCTACTTGATTTTAACCATTTTTTAAATTTAAAAAATTAGATATAAAAATAGATTTTGAGATAATCCTAAGAATATTTCACATCAAAATTATATACCATGATAAAATTTGAAGGTGCACCTTACCTCTACAGCTACGGATGCAACTGTATGCCAACTACATACCGATAAAGCTGAAGAACAAGTTCTATAAGACAGATGTGAGACCAATTTTGCCCGATGGGAGGAATATTAGGTGGTCAAAAAATAATATACCCATGAAATGAATGTAGTAGAGATGAAGATGTTGAGATGGATAAGTGGCAAGACAATAAGGGATAAAATTCAAAATTAATACATTTGAAAAAAAATTAGGTGTGGCACCAATAGGGAATAAAATGAGAGAGAGTAGACTTAGGTGGGTTGACTATGTGTGGCACTGACACAATACAATATTTGTTAGGAGGTACGAGTTAGTTCAAGTAGAAGGTTAGAAAAGGGCAAGAAGTATGCCCAAAGGATGTGGTTGGAAGTAGTGAGAAAATATATGGGGATTTATGACCTCACTGAGAGTATGACACTTAATAGAGCAGAATGACATACCACGATTCGTGTAGCTGACTCCGATTAATTGAGAAAAGGTTTTGAGATGACAATGATATTCATATCCCTTCTTTTTTTTTCCCCTAAGTTGATCCTAGTTTAGAACTTCAAGGCCCAGTGTTTGCCCTAACAACTATAGCCTTAGATGTCAAGATCCTAAGTTTGCCATAAACTTACTTTGGACCATGAATGTCTAAAGTTGTTTTGCATATTAACTTCGGACCTTGAAGGTTTTAAGTAGATTTGAGAAACATCGACTTTGGACCTTTAATATTCAAATGTGATTTGAGACCTTAACTATCATGTACATCAAATTCGGATCTTGAAAAAAATCTGAGGTTGATGTATGTGAATAATAGTATACAATGAAACTATTTACAAGTGGTACAAGGAGGTTACAATTAATCTTCACAAATTGGATGTGAAATTGGGCGGCTGCATTTATTTCATTGACTCAAAGTTCAAAAGGAACTTTCTCAAACTTTTTGACACACCCAAGCTATTACATTTCACATTGATGGGTTTAAC